TTGAACATTGTACTTGAAACTCTAGACAGAGCAATCAGTCAAGAAAATGAAACTAAAGGGATACAAATAAGAAAATAAGAAGATAAATTATCTCTGTTTGCTGATTAGATGATCCTATCTAGAAGACCCCAGAAAACTTCACCAGTAAACTTCTAGAGCTGACAAATAAATTTAGTAAAGTAGCAGGACATAAGGTCAACATACATAAATCAATCGATTTCCTCTACTCCAATAATAAATTTGCTGAGAAAGAAATCAGCAAAACCATTCCATTCACAAAAACCTAAAACCAACAAACTTGGGAATAAATCTAACCAAAGAAGTGAAAGATCTTTATGATGAAAACTGTAGAACACTGAAGAAAGAAATTTAGAAAAATCTTAGAAGATGGGAAGACCTCCCATGTTGTTGGATAGGCAGAATTAATATTGTCAAAATTGCCATAATAATGAAAGCATTACAAAGATTCAATAAATCCCATAAAAACAGCAATGGCATTCTTCATAAAACTAGAAAAACAGCCCTAAAATTTATTTTGAAGAATAAGAGATCCAGAATAGACAAAGCAATCCTGAACAAGAAGAGCAATGCAGGAGGCATAACAATTATACTAATATTAAATTATACCTCAGAGCTATAGTAATAAAACAGCATGGTATTGGCATCAAACAGATTTGAAGACAAATGGAATACAATGGAAGATACAGAGACCAAACCATGTAGATATAGTCATTTGATACTCAACGAAGATGCCAAAAACATGTTGGAGAAGAGATAGCCTTTTTAACAAATGGTAAAACATAATACTGGATAATACATATCCATATGTAGAAGAATGAAACTAGATCCCTATCTTTCAGTTTCAATGTAGATCTCAAAGTGGATCAAAGACCTAGGAATTAGATCAAGAACTCTGTAACCACTGGAAGAAAAATAGGCTTAACAGTCCAACACATTAGCACAGGCAATGATTTCCTTAACAAGATCCCTAAAGCACCAGGAAAAAATACCCAAGAATCAATAAATGGGATGCCATCAATTTAAAAAGCTTCTGCATAGCAAAGAAAATAAGAATGTGAAAAGAGAGCCTACAGAATGGAAGAATATCTTTGCCATTGATCTCTGACAAGGGATTAATACCCAGAATACATACATAACTCAAAAAAGCTAACACCAGGAAAATACATAAATATAATAAAATAAGACCCCATAATTAACAAATGGGCAAAAGAACTTAACAGACAATTCCTCAAAAGGAAAAAATACTAATATATAAAAAGTCTTCAATATCCCTAGGAGGGATATGCAAATAAAAACTACATTGAGATTGTATCTCACTCCAGTCAGAATGACAATCATCAAGAATATAAATAACAATATATGTTGGCAAGGATGTGGGGAAAATGTTCACTCATACACTGTTGGTAGGAGTGGAAATTTAGTACAACCACTTTGGAAAGCAGGATGAAGGTTGCTCAGAACCACCATATAACCCAGCTATCCTGCTCCCCAATATTTACCCAAAAGAACTAGAACCAGCATACTATAGTGGCATAGATACATCAGTGTTTATAACAGTGCAACTCACAATAGCCAAGTTAAAGAACCAGCTCAGGTGCCCATTAAGAGATGAATGGATAAGGAAAATGTGTTACACATACATAATGGTATTTTCCTCAGCCATAAAGAAGAATGAAATTACAGCATTTGCTGGTAAATGGATGGCATTAGAGAATATTATGCTAAGGGAAACAAGAAAGTGAAGGGTTGTATGTTTTCTCACATAGGGGGAAGCTAGACCATCTAGCTTTCTTATCAGTAAAGTCCAAACTGCTCCCAGTTTCAGTCAAAATATATTTAAAATGATAAAATTCACATTCCTAGACTCTACTATAGAGATTCTGAAACTACCAACCAGAAATGGGATCCAAAGTCATGTCTTTGAACTTTCACAGGGTATTTTAATGCAGGTTATGGTGGGACCACACTTGGGCACTGAGTGCTCTAGATCATGGGTGGGGGTAAGCCTTCAAAGAAGGGGCAAATGCAAGTGGTCCTAGTCAGGGAATGCATAACCTGCCAATTAAGCACAGACTGTCTTGTGCAATAAGATTTGGTTCACTGAAATATTTCAACTATAAGACACAAAAATATCAGGTAGTACAGGCTACTGGTGGGCTTTGAGGCTGGGTCACACACAGTTCAGCTTTTACAATATTTTTATCTTCAGCTCAACAATTCAACTTTACAAAAAAAAACTTACCCTAAGGACATAATCAGACTTTATTCAAAACATTGGTAGGATTGCAGAAATTATTTAAGAGTTCTGAATAAATAAGAAGAGGATGAAGCTACTCTTAATAACTTTTCCTTAAAATGCTGGCTATGGGCAGGGAACACGAAAGGAAAGCACACTGCACTTTGTGTCCCACATATTCAGACTTTGTTTTGCAAATGTTTTGTGGTTACCATGGCAACCTCTGGTTTCTCTGTGTAAATGGGAAATTGGGAACCTCGGTTTTTTTTTTTTTTTTTCAAAAAATGATTAGTGTGTTCTTTTTATCCTGGTTAGCTCGTTCTGTGCTGACAAATTGCATTCTGACAGCTAGGTTGTAATCCAAAACATGCTTTTTTTTAGATTCTGAATAATAAAGAATTTCCAGGGTTTGACAGTTATTCTTCATTTATATTTTTATGTACATGTATTTGCTTTCATTGAATTCAAGAGATAAGCAAAAGTACTAAATACTTGGTATAGGTTTTAAATAACTCAGAAATATATTCTCACTTGAAATATTTGACATATCAATTTGATTACTATACTCTTGGTGTAAGGAAAGAACATTCTGAATCTGTTGGACATGAGCTGAGCCTTGACTCCACCATTACTAGTTGTGTGAGTTGGGCAAGAAGTCTAACCCTTTAGATCTCAGTATCCATGAATAAAGTAAAAATCAGAAATATATATAGTGTCTATAATAATGCGAAGTCTACTGAGCAGCCTCTCAATATAACATAGCAGCTATTATTACCAAAGACATAGCAAAGGCAGGCACAGAAACATACAAAACCTATTAGATTTGGTTTAGAAAACTCAGGTCCACAGAGGAAAAATGAATAAATAAAACTAATGCTGAACTGTCATTATTAGGATTGACTTCTTCAGGTTTCAGTTTTTGTGACATTATTATGAGATGTACTCATCAGTAAGTTAGGAAAAGACTTAAAATTTTTTCAGATGGAAAACAGGACCGGCAAGCTTCACAAAGGAAGTTCTTCAAAACTGAAAATTCTGTGTGCAGTCAGCTAAAAGTTAATGCATATCTCTGAAACAGCAAGTGACCAAGCTTTTAAGCTACTGGAGGTCCCTGTGAAACAGGCTCAGAAGCCTTCCACAGCCCACTGGAGATAAAGGAGTGGGATCAGCAAGGATAAGGATTCTCCTTCTCCAGGGCTGAGTCACTCTTGAGTAAGGTTCGCAGGGCAGCAGGGTCAGGACTCCCCACCTGCTTCCCAAGAACATTTATGAATCCATCTTTTCTTTTTCACATAGACCCATCTATATTCTGTATCTCATGGTGTGACATTTTTTAAAATTTGTGTCTGGAGGAATAGAGTTTAGTGGGGACATGCTAAGTCTTTCATCATTATATGTCCTAATTCTTAATCTGCCTTTATTCCTTAACTTCTGTTACTGAAACAAATGAGAACATCACAGATGATTATGGGGCAAAATATGGATGCCCAGAGCAAAATGCAAAATATTATAAAGCAAAACAAGATATTCTGAAATTAAAAACTATTTAAACTCTCTTCAAATTAAAGAAACAATTTGAGTCCTTACATCTGTATCATATATGGCACATAAGCCCAACCTATATATATATAAAGTTGGTCAGTGTATTGAAAAGTATTTAATTACTAAACAACAACGACAAGACCAAGGGCCCAGCACCAAAAGACATCAACACCGTGCCTTTACTGTTGGAATCTGATTTCCATCTATCTATTTTACATCTAGGGCAGTTCATTCTAGAGTGTGGCCATGGGCAGAAGAAAGGTCACTTGATGAAGATTTTTCTCTGATTGTCTACCTTCTCAGTGTACTATTCTAACCTACTTGTTATCAAGACAAGGTAAAATATAGAACTCTGGGAGCATGGCTTTATAAAGAAAGTGCCAGTGATAATAGCAAGCTGTTCCTTTTCAGACCAGTTCCCCACCCACCACCACCACCCTCAGCACCACCCCTATTCTCTTCATTTCAGCGTAGCTCCATGAGAGACTCATGATCCTTCATCTCTGATCTGTAACTGGTTAAGGTTGAGCCCCTGACCAAGCTGGGTCAATCCTGGACCCTCCCAAGGATTCCCAGATAAAATAAAGGAACTCAGATAAATCTGAATATGAGGTAAACTATGAATGATTTTTACTATAAGCATGCCCCAGATATTGTAGTGAGACATCCTTGTACTGCATACTGTAATGGTGGTCTCAGACCTGACAATACTAGCTGCAAATGCACAGAGTACTTCCTGGGTTCCACGGGGCACTCTAAATACTTTGTAAATACTAACTCAATAACTAAATGAAATGACACAGAGGTATAAACATATGCCAATATATGGATGGCCTGAAGTTAGAAGAGTGCCCTGTGTATTTTTAAATTTAGAAAATCATGCAAAACTTAGTATAATTAAGATATTTTATGGATCACCACTGATAAGCTGCAAACCAATTTGAATAAAACTTGAAAAATATAAGCAATGAAAACTAAAAGGCTGACAAAGCAGTGGGCTGAGAAGCCAGAGGTGAAAATTTCAGCCCCTCTTCTCACTAGCTAGATGACCTTGGACAGTTCTCCTCCCTCATGGATCTAGGCTTTCTTACTTGCAACGTGAGTCTTGGATGAGGTCATGATTAAAGTCTTGGCTTCTTCTAAAAGTCTAATATATCCCCCATAATACTGGAAGGACAGCTTGCAGGGAAAAGTTCATTACCTCTGCAATCATTCTGTTGGTGTCTCCTAAGAAGAGCAAATTCAGAGCTTCTTCCTCGTTTGTTGCTTGATGCAGAGACAGGTTTTTCAGATGAATGTTCTGATCAGTGTCCTCCAATAGTGTCACTTTCCTAGGGAAATGGGAAGCAAGAAAACAAGGAACTGTTGAGAAGAAAAAGAATGTCAAGTCTTTCCTACAGGTTTATTTAAAAAAACGTACAGTAGGATGTCTTGAACTTATAAAGCGATAACACACCAGGAACCAAGCAGCACCACAGGAGCATCAAACATTGACATTTCCTCAACAGTGTGATCAGATAGCACTGGGGCTGAAGAATAGATTACAAGCCTCTGATTTGAAGCCACCTGTCATTTTAATCATCAGATCATCTTAAATGTATATTCTTACTAAATTAAAAAATGCAATAAAACTTTCTATCTATATATTAGAAAACCAGATCATCTTGGTTTCGGGGACGGGCATGATTCAGTTTCTTACATGGGTAACAAACTAATCCTTTCTTTTTTTTTTCAATTGCTTATCACTTTCAACTTACCTAACCTTTCAAACTGGTTAGCTCATAAACTTAAACAGGGAGAATATCTGTCATTCCTCTAGGATTTATTCTTCTGTATAGTTTTCATACCAATGTGAGTAAAAAGTTCTCAAGAAGTCTTATTTAACTTGTCATTACTCTCTGTCAAATCTGTTTCTTGATGCTTTTTCCTTTACTGCACACATTTTCCTTCTACTCTATCCTTACCGTCAGAGCCTTAGATCTGGAATCATATTCATCTATTTCAACCACATTTATGTACGTCCTAGTGCCTACACCATTTCCTCCCAGGTGAATCCTAAGCCTGCTTCCAGTGATGGCTTGTTAGTACTCTCCTTATAGTCCCTTTAGGACTTTCTTTTTTTCTTATTTCTAAAAAATTTTTTGATTTGTTATATCTGACAACAGAATGCATTATAATTCATATTATACATTCAGAGCACAATTTTTCATCTCTCTGGTTGTACACAAAGTAGAGTCACATCCTTCATGTCTTCTTACATGTATTTAGGGTAAGTGAAAAAAATTTGGCCAACATCCTCAAATCCTGCTTCAAAGGCCTACAAATTCAAGCCATAAACTTACTATAGAGAATTCCCCGGTCTCTGGAGTTTTGTCTTCTTTATTTTCTTAAGAATCATTACAGAAAGGAAATTTATCATTCACAGGTATTGCCAAAGAGTATCTACAGGTATTTTCACTTGTTGAAAACATTTGGAATGGATGAGTATAGGTGAAGGTTGCCATCATCTAGAGCTACTTCTCCTTTAAAAGGACAACAACTGACGTGTCACTTAGCAACAGACACACGTCACTTCCCTACTTATGAAAACTTACTTAGATTACCTTTACAATAAAGATTTTTCAAATATCATAATATTTTCATCTTTCTGTTTTGTAAGGAAGTTATCTGGGTTTTCATATGTAATTTGTGGGCACTTAAAATACTAATTGCAGGAAGAATATGCAGCTCTACCAGCACATCTGTGACCAATATGCCACTAATAATGTGCTCTTTTGCTGAATTTTGGCCTCCTTTATGTCTCCTTTGACAATACCCACAGAGATGGAAAAAGATCTCCTTCCTTAATGAAAACAAGTGTAATTTATTTATTCTTAAATAGGACTCATAAGTGAGCTTATTAAAAATACTTAAGAGTTCAAAAATGCTTGGAAAATATGAAGACATTTTTAATTGAAATGGATGAGTTGTGTTCTATTTTTAGGACCCTCCTTTATTTCTTATACTTCATTTCCATCCTGATCCTTCTGAAGTGCTTGAGTAGGTTTGACTATTTAAACTCCTGGGGACAGAATTCTTCCTAAATCCATAGATTGTGAGGATCTGAAGCTTTTACCTATAAAAGTGAAAGAAGTTAAGTAATATTGGAAGATAAAGACATGAAATAAATGATGAGGTGGAACCTTAAAAGGGAAAAAAGAAGAAAGTTCTATCCTTTTCAGTATGAAGTCAATAATCCTCTAAGTTGGAGGTAAGTCACCTTTGATGGATTTTTTTTAAGACCCAGACAGACAAAATACTTCTCCTGTACAAGTTCAGAACAGGCAGGGGCTCAGAAAAAGGGAGAGGGCTATCAGGAAACAATTCAAAGAAGCCAGTGCTCTTACTCATTGGGCACCAGATGTATGCCAAGCACTACTGTATGCCAGGTATCTGCATTGTTTCATTTAATCCAGTTGCTCTCAAAAAGAACTATCTATGGAACTACACACACACACACACACACACACACACACACACCCCAAAACCAAACCCTAAGTCAGATCAGGTCCTACCTTAAGAGTTTCTGATTTGATTGATCTGGGACACTGTCTGGGTATCAGAGTCTGTAAAGGCTCCAGGTGACTCTGGTGTGTGGTCAAGATTGAGAGCCAAGGACTTCATCTTTAATGACCCTTCAAGGAAGACACAGAGGGAGGGGATTTCTGGTTTCTTTTGTCTTTACTTTCCACCAGTTGCATCTTACACCCAAGGGGTAAAGTTACAAATCTCATTGGATGTAGCTGAAGACACTGATGAGCCACATCTATTGACAGATGAGGAAATTGTGAAGTGTAAATCCTTCATAGGAAGCTTCTACCTCCCCTACCATGCAGCTAGGGGCTAACCAAGCCACACAACAATAACCACAATAACTAATGCTAAGCTGGGGATTATGCATCTAACTAAACATCTATAGTGTTTATGTCAAAAAATGTCTGTGATAGGAAGAACACATCACACATACATTTCTCCTTATTAATTCACTGAATAGAAAATGCTGTAAATGAGGAAGGATGGAATTCTAAGCATGCACATTTATTAGAAAACCTAAGTGGGTCACTGATTTAGGGTTATATTTATATAAAAAAAATCACAAGCATAAGGTGCCAAGTGTTTGCCAAATGTCATCACTGGTGTTTGGCTAAGCAATTTTTTTTAACCTTAATTCAGAGCCTTCGATCTCCAATGTGGCTATTTCAGAAACACTGGTACTTGTCCAGCTTTGTTACTTGGATCACAATGACAATTCGCACACTCCCCCCCCCAGTTTTTCTTCATAGAATTTTGAGATGTTTTTTGTAACTCAACTCTGCATTTTAAATTTTTTTTCTGATATGTTTCCCTCATAGTTTTCTGATTTCTTATTAATGCAATGAATATACTTTCTCGTTTTTATGTTATGCCCAAGTGTAGCTGTGGTGATTTCTATTTTCTTTTAGCTTTATTTTATTCATATGTACGTGGTGCTAAGGATCGAACCCAGGGCCTCACACATGCTAAAGTAAATCAAGAGGTAGGTTGATCTCCAAACTTCTTTCATGACTCTTGGTGCTCATTTGTGGACACCCAACAAAAGGTTAGACTTTGGCATTCTTCTGGAACCTCTGAGAGGCAACCTCTTCTCTCTTGTCCATTCTTTGTAGATTCATTCTGGTTTCTGCCCAATTCCTGGGCATGAGGATTGGGACCTTCCCTTACTGACCTGTCTGTCCATGTGTCAACCCCAACTCTTACAGCTATGTTCACAGGCCAGCCTGAGCCTTGCCGTGGCTTCTATCTCTTGCCTAGGAGAGCTAATCAGGGAGTGAAAATAAACTTAAATTCTCCTACCAGTAGAATAGCTTTTCAAAGTTGGGGAAAATAAGAACCATTATAAGAGTTTCTCATCCAGTTGCTTCCTCTCTCTCTCTCTCCCTCTCTCTCTCTCTCTCTCTCTCACACACACACACACACACACATCAATAACTATTTCCTGAGTCTTTCGTCTACCACTTGGTTCTGACTGTAGTTTTTATGGGCTTGAAAAGAGGGCTTTATTAGAGTTTCTTAAATAAATATCCTACTTCCAAGATGGAAACCCACCAAACTATTTATTTGATTCATTTTGAATAGGCCTGTGCATAGTTTCCCCTACAAAATGTTTCTAAAATGTTTAGATTTCAAGTGAAAAGTCACTGATAGCCTTAACTTGGATACCTAAGTGGAAAAGTTCTGCTAAGTCTATTCGGACTGCTTAATGGTGGGGAAGAAACAAGCTTTGTGTTTTCTCTGTAAACAGAGAATCTTTTCCATTTGGCTGCTTAGTAGGAATTTGTAGGCTTTTTTTTTTTTTTTAACTGACTGGAAGACATCTGAAGAACAATGGCCAAGCTCTTATTCTCAGTAATGGAAGGCATCAATGAAAGAACCCTCCCCTGCCCACATCTACCTCCACGGCATTCCAACACCATGACTTTCCAAAGAAGAACTATTCAGGAGTTACTGCAATGCATATTGTTTCTCATTTTTATGTTATGGCCAAGTGTAGCTGTGGTGATTTCTATTTTCTTTTGTCTACTTGCAAGTGTCCCATATGATTGTGCAGGCTGTGAACTACACAATGGCACCATGGCCAAGGACATGTCATTCATATCATGATTTTGTATATTTGTTATGACAAACTTCTATCAGAGAGCAGTAAAGTGTCTTCCAACAAAAACATTATAAACAATCTTCCCACAGATGGCAGGGGAGCCTTTTACTAAATTACATAAATATGCCATAAGGACTGGAGGTCACTCTGTCTAGATAATGCTGACCTACAGAAATCTCCATGCCCACAAGCCTCATGAAAATGGGTGTGTTTGGGGGTGGGTGGGCGGGCGGGGGGTGCCCAGACCCTTTTAAATAACTGGATATGTTTCGTGATGGGAACACAGTGCTATCTCCACTCATTTCAATAAAGAGAATATTCCCCAGTTCAGTGGTTCTCAACCTCTTTTTTCTCCCCACCCCAGTGCATGTTTTCTTAGAACCTCTCTGTGGTGAAGAGTTGAAGAAAAGAGGTGAGGTGAATTTTTAGAAATACGCGAGGGAAGGGGGCAGCCTTCCAATATTAAACAATTTCAAAGGTAGATTTTCTTTAGATTAGTTAAAAACCTTCTAAAAGTTTTCCTCTGTAATAAAGTACAAATAGCTGAAATATGTCACTGGAGAAAGTTTCATGAACTTAGGGTACATTTTTGTGTTGGTATTGACCTTGACAAAATAGACTAAAGGTCATGGACATTTTCTCTGTTTAATCCCTATG